ATTATTATAATTATTATTATAATAAAAGGGATAAATCATGTCTGAACTTTTCTGATCTGATCTGAATGTTTTTGATCTGATCTGAATGTTCCTGATCTGATCTGAATGCTTCTGATCTGATCTGAATCTTTCTGATCTGATCTGAATGATTCGGATCTGATCTAAATCTTTCTGATCTGATCTGATCTGATCTGAATTTTTCTGATCTAATCTGATCTGAATAAAATAAGAATAAGCAATAAGTAATAAGATTAAGACGAACAGAACAACTTCTTAATCGAGACCAATAAGTGATATTAGAGCCTATTTGTTCTTGTAGCCTTTTAGGTTATCTTCTGAGCAAACTTCCGCTAACTTTTACTGTTTCTTTTGACTATTTTATCACTTTACATGGATAACACTTTTGCAAATGACTTGGTGTTTTTAACCCAGAATTTCGAAGACTGGAGGATAAGGAGGGAGACACATTTGCCTACATTGCATGATGGGCCCGTGGAGGTCATGAAGATTAATCCTAACTACTACCTCTGTCCCGCTAAGATTGTCCCGTTTTACCTTTTCGGTCCGTCCCACTAAGATTGTCTCAAACCAAATTAGGCAAAATTTGTGTGACTCCAAATTATTCTTATTTTATTCTTACTTTATCAATTCAATATCGATCACATAACTCACTTTTTATTAGTTTGCGTGTCACTTCCTCTTGTCCCATTGTTAACGGGACGGAGGGAGTATGTACCAAACCAAGGATCGTAAGTTCGTAATGGATGATTCCTAAGACAAGAGCAGAATGGTGATATTAGTGTATTTTCGGTATGTATTCTTGCACCTTTAGTTTGTTTTTATGATTGGTGTTGGTTATAATTACACATTTATGATGTAATACTTTATTTTCAGATGTAATTTATTTATATTAGGCTATTTTGAGCTACATGTCAAGACAATCCAAATGATTAAAAATGGACCTTACAAGGTCAAGGAAAGTGCAAGGAGGCAAGACAAAAAGATGATTTGGAATTTTTTGTCTTATACCCGGTCGGGTATATGCCATACCCGATCGAGTATTTGCTTGGTTCGAGCGCCTAAATCAAATTCAGGGAACAAACGATCATGCAAGCATATTTTATGAAGATTTGCCCTATACCAGATCGGGTAGACCTATACTCGTCCTATATGATATGATTTTTGAAGTTTTCGGGCTACTGCCAAGGACACCTGATCGGGTACGCTATATACCTGATCAGATATCAGACCCTGTCACCTCCAAACACCTATAAATTAGACCAGTACAAAAACAGGCCGGCCTGCCCGCACAAATGGGCGGGCTTGGGCATATATTTCTACCCACCGGCCCGGCCCGAGCCCGGCCCGCAATAGCATATGGGCGGGCTTGGGTTAAGGTGTAGGCCTATTCGGGCCGATAAGCCCGGCCCGCTACATTTAGTATATATACATATATATTTATATATATACTAATTTATTTATTTATTTACATTTACACGTGTATATTTATATTTACTAAATTATCTTTATACATTCTATAGTTTATTATGTTTAAATTTAAGTTTTTAGTTCTTAACAACTAGCTCAATCAATATAATATCTGTTCTTATAATTACATATAATACTTTGTACTTTAATTTTAAATTTTATACTTTGTTCCTCACTATTACTTCCTCACTACCAAGGATGATCATGAGGAAGTAATTCTAGAAAAAGAAAAGACAAAGGAGAAGCAAAAAAAAGATTTTCCAAAATAAGGAATCTGGAGAAATAAGACCCAATATTTTCGAGTGCTTAAAAATGGGTTTTCAAACAATAATAAGCAAAGATTCAATAAAACTAATAGAAAATTCCATGATCACCATGCCATATGTGACCATCAGAGAGACAAGATACTAGAGAATGCTTATCATAGCCTCACAGGTCAGGGGGAGTCTAGAGTACCATCAAGATCTACAATTAACAATCTTTTTACTACTGCTAGTGCTTGGATTTCTTCCCAACCAAGAAAGCTATCCTTAAGTATGTAAACAAAAAGCATATATGATCCTCGCAAGCATCTGTCCAAAGTGAATCATACTTCACTTTACTACAACTACCGCATTAATATTGGGCATAAACCACCCAGGACTCATCTGATGAGGCTTTAGTAATTAAGGCTACCCAGGCTGGTTAACCCCCAAGGACCCAATTAACTCAATTTGGATACCTACATCCTATCTTTAATCTTGCAAGAAGTGTGTACAAGAGTAATCTAAGATAAAAAATGGTTTTTAAATCTTGTATGCTCTAGACAAATTACAAGTAACAAGAGTTGCCTCACATATTTCTAAAGATTCGGTGGACCCAGAGTTGTCTTTGGTGGACAAGACAATGAGGGTCAAACCAAAGAAAATTGAAAGATAGTGAGAGATGGACAATGCATTGAAGATGTCTCATATGTCAAAGGTCGGAAGTTCAACCTATTGAGTACTAGCCAATTGTGTGATAAAGACTATACACAATAGAGTTCTCAAAGGACATCTGAATATGAAACAACAAAAGATGCGGTATTGACTGCCCAAGGTTTGAAACACTGTTAAGGACAGAATCTGCCGGATAACAAAAAGAGATCAAAAGTTGTTTTGGGATTTGCACAAAAATCTAAGTCATTTGAACTTCAATACAATCAACAAACTTTCTAGAGATTACATTGTAGAAGGACTATCAGATATTGTATACATGAAAGAAAATCCATGGAGTGCATGCCGGAAAAGAAAGCAAGTCAATAATTCCTTCAAGTCAATTGTTAGAGATCTTTTCACAAGTTCTCTTAATCTGATTCATATGGATTTATTTTGACCTATTGATACACCTAATGTCAGTGGAAATAAATCCACTCTAGTCATGGACAATTTTCATGAAGAAGAAGAATGAAACTTTCTTGAAGCCGCAATTCGAGTCTGCTAAAGCTGCTGTAGAATGAGAAAAATCTAAAAGTAAGAAGATCATATCAAACAGAGAATGAGATTTTGTGAATAAGATGATTAGAGAATTCTATGAACAAAAGGGAACTGTACATCAACTATATGCAGCCAGAACCCCCCAATAGAATGAGGTTGCAGAAAAAGAAGCATAACTCCGAAAGAAGGAAACCAAACAAGATCGTTACTTTCACATTTTTGGATGCAAATGCTACATCTTTAATAATGGAAAAAATCAACTGAAAGTCTTTCAAGAGAAAGTAGATGAAGAATTGTTAATGGGATATCTCGACACTAGCAAAGCTAACAGAGTTCTAAACAAAAGGACTCTGTTCGTAGAAGAACCAATTAATGTCAAGTTTGATGAAAAGACTTTGATGGAATCTGTCACAAAAGCCATGAACCATATAAAACTCAAAGAGAAGTCTATTGAACCGGAAACAGACTTGGATGGCCAAAACCAAATTTGGCCAACCAACATTATGCCAACTTTTGAAGACTTGGAAGAATCTGAAGATGAAGAACAAGGATGACCCAGACAATAATTTTATGAACAAGATCTGACATGGTTCAGAGATTACTCACCAAACAAAGTGATTAAAGAATTGAAGCTAGAAGAGGGGTTCGAACTAGATCATCTACCTAGAGAGAAGCAATGCTTGGTTGTTATATATCACAAATGGAACCCAAGACTCTAGAAGAAGCCTTGATGAATTCAGATTGGATCACCGTTGTGAAATAAAAGTTGAGTCCATTTGAAAGAAATCACGTATTAGAACTTGTTCCAAGACCAAATCATGAGAATGTCATTGGAACAAAATGAGTGTTCAAGAATAAAGCAAATGAGGATGAAATCATTGTAAGGAATAAAGCAAGACTAGTGGTAAAAGGATACTCCCTAGAAAAAGGATTAGATATGGATGAGACATTTGCGCTAGTATTCAGATGGGAGGAAATCAGAATCTTCCTAGCCTATGCCGCCTACAAGGCCTTCAAAGTACACCACTTGGATGTAAAAAAAGTATTTTATGAATGGAATGCTAGAAGATGAAGTTTATGTGAAACAACAACCATATTTTGTCATTCCAATTCAGTCTGGCTGTGTCTACAAACTTAGGAAGGCTTTTTGTGGCCTTAAGCAGGCTCAACTCTTAGCTAGAGCTAGGTATGATACATTATCCATTTTCTGGTGAACCATGGGTTATCAAAGGAATGCTGACAAAACTCTACTTAAGATTTCTGTTGGAAATCAAATTATGCTAATACATATTTGTGTTTATAATATTATCTTTGAAATAGTCTAGGCTCCCACTGCTTACATTGAATTAAGAAGTAATTCTAGGATGTAGGGAGTGCAATTAATATTGGGAAGACAATTAATTTTTTTAATTGGCCTATCCAATGAACCCTTTCACTTCTTGCCCATTCTAGCCCTACGGGCATAGACTATTGCATTTTGTATTATATATATATGTGTGTGTGTTTGTGTGTAATTTGGATCAAATAAAAAAGTTATTAATATTTACAAAGAGAAATAATCTCATCCGTTCAAAAAGTCAATCTGATGCACAATAAATAAACCTCCTGATGCACTTTTCGAATACACTTTATCTAATGCACTTTTGAAAAGTGCATCAGATAGGGTTTATTTTTGAAAGTGCATGAGATAGGAGTTATCATGCATTAGATTGACAATTTGAATGACTCAAATGAATTTCTATTATACATTTTAATATGTCTTCCATTTGGACTCAACTCTACACACACACACTCCCTCTGCATTCTTTTATTTAATACAATAAGATTTGATATAACATTTAAGAGAACATTAATAGAGAAAATTAATAGGGGTAATGAAAGGTGTAAAAAAGTAAGAGAAATATGAAATAGTATGAAAGAGAACATGGAAAATCATGAGTAATTAAACGATTGCATAGTATATAGAGATCCCCAAAAGAAATATGTTCCAAATGAAAGAATGCGAGCATATAGATATAGATAGAGGAAGACAAAAGTAATTCCGGAGTAATTATGTACCTGTTGCATAGGCACCACTTTAGCGAAATCTCCATTAGGGTAATACCCGAACCAAGAACTTTCTTGTGGCAAGATAATTGTGTCACCCATAAACTGCATATGTACGTGTAGCATTGAGATCAGGACACAAAATTATAATTTATTATGAAACCTATCTAAAGCTTTCTAGCAAAATGCACACACACGAAAAGGATCACCTTAGTTCAGACGGGAAATCCCGTCTCAAGTTGCCTATTGACAAAAAATGTTGACTTTACAAAACAAATTGGAATGGAGGTAGTATGTATTTTTGTGTATGCATGGAGTAGATATAATCACTCCTATACTACTAATAGTCTTTTGAGTTCCAAAACCAGGACTCTTTTTATATATTTTCCATAAAAGTAACTAATCTTTAATTGAACCACCTATCCCTTCATTTCCAGACAAATTTAAACCGACACATATTCTCCGTAGCTCGTCGCAGCCTGCGGCTGCACCCTGGTAAGTCATCACCCCCACCGCGGTTTCTGATTTTCCTCTCCTCTCCATCAAACTAGGGGCAATGAATCTGGCAAAGACATCGGAGTTTTGTCCTTCTAGCTATGGCGAGCGAAGGAGTTTTCTATTGAAGATGTTCTACCTATTGCGGTGGACGAGGCAACGAAGTCTCTGATGGCTCCCTATGAGCATATCGACGATTAGGGTTTGAGTGGAAACTCGATGCTGGCTAGATTACGTGAAGACGCGATTGGGGACGGACTCAATAGGTTGGGGGCGATGTTGGGCTAGTGATGGGGACTGCAGAGATTGGAGGGTGGCTGCGAAGTATTGGCAGGGGATGGGAGATAGGGCGAGTGTCACGGCCTGGGGAAGGGGAGGCGGTCGGGATAGGGTCTAGGACTGCGCCAGTATGTCTTATGTGCAGGCTTGGGGGCGGGGTGTGGTGGAGGGATGCGGCAGTTGCAAGGGATGGGTTGAGGTGTGGTGGTGGGCTACGACTGTTGCAGAGATGGGGTGTGGTTTTGTTGTCGGGGATGGAGAGCGGGACGGGGATTGGGCGGTGTTTCACTGTACAAAAACGGTTGAAAACTGGGTCATTGTAGAGGATGTACTACAATATTGTTGGAAAAAGTTGTCTGAAAAATTTCCGGCGATCGCAGTGACATGTTTCACGACGACAATGACATCATTTAGTGACATGAAAATGTGGCAATGACAATCTTCAGTTGCATGAAAAATCACAGTGACATATAAAATTTGTAGTGACATTATGATTTTCCATTTTTTTTAATCCCGGAAGGCAAACCACTAAAATCAGTGGGGCAAATGCCGGGAGTCAGTTGCCGTTATTTTATTAAAAATATATGCAAGTACAAGAGAGTAAAAAGAATTTTGGAGGGTGTTAGACCTGACCCAAAATAAAATTAAAAGAAAACTGATAATAATAAAAACTACTGAGCGGAACTAAAGAGGAAATAGGAATCCCAATTAGGAAACCCTAAGATTCGAACAACCAACATAATCCAGATGTAAAGCTCCTCTAATGTGAACCGGAAGCTGAGATGCCTGATAAAGGTCCTTGTTTATCACATTTTTGTCAATATTTAAACATGGTAACATTTTTGAAAGTTGACTTGAATAAGGTAATATTTAGGGGAAAACCCCATGGAGTATGAAGGTAGCATATATACATACCAAGACGAGAACGAGTTGGCTAATACTGCTGAATCGTTTTTTGCGGAGTGCACTCTCACTGTCTTCGACTTCATTGTTTATCTTGGGAAGAAATTTGCACTCTCTCAAGTATGCAGGGATATCCTATACACATCGGAAACAAATTAAAACAAGAATATAATAAATTAGAAGAAGACAATAATTGCAAGCTAATTAATTTCTTTAATTAGTACGCAACTACGCAAGTCAAGGAAGTCCCATAAGAGCAACTCCAATAGTAAAGACAATAATTGCAAGCTAATTAATTTCTTTAATTAGTACGCAACTATACAAGTCAAGGAAGTCCCATAAGAGCAACTCCAATAGTTCATTTGAAGGACTTGCTTGTACTTTTAAATAGGGCTAGAACCGGTTCGGTCCTTACTCAAAATGAGTGAAACCATTATAAAAATCTTAACAAATGAACTCGGTTCGGTTCCTATATAAAAAATCAAGAACCGTTATGGAACAGAACCGGTAGTAAACGGTTCGGTTCTTCCTTTTACCGGTTCCTAGAATAATTTTTTCTCATCTAAGAATTAACATATACTTTACTTTCTACAAACATAAACATGTCGAAAATTCAAAACACGAGTATAAAAATTTTATTTGAAGTTCTAATCTCTTCAAACATCAAAGCTTAAACTTAACTAATGAATTGTGAACACTTATTAGAACAAAAGATGATTTATTTTTTTATGTAATAAACAACAATGAAGGTTACTCGTCAACATAGTAGCAAGAATAGGGCGCCTAGTTCAAGTCTTTCAAAACATAAAAAATACATTGAATTCGCATGTATAGATATAAAAAACATTATTACATTCTATTGATTCATAATAAATCCAATAATTAGAAATATCATGAAAATAGTTAAGTAAAATATGTGCAATCAACTACAAGTTATTTGAATTATTTTATATTTATAAAATTTATGTGATGAAACAAAACTTGATTTGTAAAAATGAGTTTAATGTACTATATCAGCCTCATGTACAATATTTATTACTTCATTTTCGTTGATTAAATTAGAATTGTTAGTTAAATATCTTATATTATTTTTATTATTATTGTTGTAGTGGTGGCTATTACTGCTATTATATTATTACTACTACTACTACTATTTACTAATACTATTTTTTAATAACGGTTCCTTAACGGTTCCATGCACATATTTTTTATGGGAACCAGGAATTGAACCGTTAACAACATCTAGGAACAGAACCGTTAACAACTAATACCTTATTTGTAGGAACCGAACCGAATCGGGTTATAACGGTTTGGTTCCAATCGGTTCTACGGTTCCCGGCTCCAAAATCCCACCCCTACTTTTAAAGATAATAGCTCACCATTGGAGCATTGCTTTTTCTTTTGCTTGAGAAAGCTAATTAGCAAAAATGAACTACTAGCTTGAGCAAGAAGAAGTTATAGCTAACCAATGAAGTGTAATGAAACTTGTCTCATGTAATTACTGGTTGTTCGCTATGTTCCTACTCAGTTCCAGCTAGCATACATTTTTACTAAATGTCGATCACCACAACGTTTTATTTTTCTTAGGGACAATCTGCGCATTGTTTCCCATGCACAGCTTGAGGAGGTGTAATAGTATAATTAATACCATTAATTAGGTTTCCTAATGTACTCCGGACATATTTTCTTATATATATGACACCTAGGGCTACCTCATTGGTATGTCTTTCCATTATTCTCAGAATTATTAGTGTAATGAAACTTGTGCATCACATTTTGGTAACTTTTGACTTTTATGATATAGTAGTACTTGATAATACCCCAATGTGATGCACAATGAAACTTGTGTACTCTATCTTTTCGACTTTTCATAACATTTACCAAAATGCCCCGTGTCATCTAATATTGGCTTAATTTGAGCAATTTTAAAAATGTGCAACAAAAGAGTTTTATTGTGCACCACATTGATTTAAATGCGAGTGTTCTCACGTTAAACATCATTCTCATCGGAACCATATATCACTGGCGGATCCAGGAAACGAAAGTATTGAGGCAGAGTAAAGAAAAAATAGCTATATTAAGAAAAAAAACTAAATGTACTTAAATAAATACTACGTATACCTCAATAGTAAATTTTTTTAACAAGGTACTCGAAATTTCAAAGCTAAATAAAGTATATTACAAAATTAAAAAAAAACTAAAAAGTGAATCACAATTACTCCCTTCAAGATTTTCATCCCTTAGAGCATCTCCAATGGTAAAATGTGTACAGTGCACACGTGGCATGAGAAATAATCACATAAATATTAGTAAATAAATTATTTTTTTCCTTATTTGAATGATTTTATACAATTTTGGTAAGTTTTTCTCTACAATGTCAAGGAGACCGTGTAGATGTTGACATTGTTGTTGACATTGCAGGGAAAAACTTACCAAAGTTGTATACAATCATTCAAATAAGGAAAGCGATAATTTATTTGCTAATATTTATGTGGATATCACACATGCCACATGTGCACCGTACACATTATAGCATTGGAGATGCTCTTAAATCAATTACTCCATTAGGATAATATTTAGGCCTTTTCTTCTTTTTGTGGGGCCCGATAGAAGCTCAACCACTTTAATTTCTTCAGTAATTTAAATAGCACATTGAGAAGTACTATTATACACATTTGAACTTGAACCTCTCGGTGTTGATCCATTAGTGATTTATACAAAAATCTATCCATAAAATTTGATAAAAAAACATTTAATTATTTTTTTGGCAACTAATGTACTCTTGTGTATCTTTATATATCAAGTTAATATGAACTTTCCAAAATATGTCCTACTAATTCTAACAGCTTAGTAGAAGTACACAATAACACTTCAACACATACAAATTATACAATAAGTCAATAATCAATATATAGTCAAATACTCAAATTAATCACTCAAATAGATAATACGTAGCACTCCGTATTTAATAGGATTTGGGATGAAGTCTGTGTAACTTTTTAAGAATTGACTGGACTACGGGAGTTGGGACTTGGGTCAATTTGATGGGGGCATTTTATTTTTTTTAATGGGGGCAATAGTGTGTGCTAAATTTTTTCTTAATATAATATATGGATCTATTGGGAGTTTATTGGGGGCAGCTGCACTGCTAATGACAGTGTGCATCCGCCCCTGCCATATATATGTGTATGCGCGCATGTATATGATAGAGAGTTATAGTAAGAACCTTGAAGAACACATTAGTGAATGAGAACATCTAATGGCTATAATTAAAAGGGCGATCAACACTTTAGGTAATTATTTTATAATAATTGCAAAAAAGATTATGTTTGAGTTTTGAGTAATTACAAAAAGGCATTATCCATATGTGTCATAAAAAAGTTACATAACTTACATTTGGAAGCTTGATATAGCCACTAGGAGCCAAGTGTTCCTGCACGTAAATCGATTATTATAGTGAAGAAAAAAAATCCATCAAGACTCACCAGCCATTAGGATATCAGAAATAAATAAGGCAAACAAAGCCATCAACTAACGATTCATAAGCTAAGGTGACAATTTCTATTCTCTTTTGCTTTCTCTATTATTTGTTATTTATTTGTAAATGTCAATATTTAATTCAATGATTATGTGAAAAACTATTATTGACAACTTTAAAAATAATAAAAGTTGAAAGATAAGACCTAATCCATAATAAGTAGAGATATTACCCCCAAAACAAGCATAAATGAAAAACAGAATTATATTACCCCAGTCCCCCTAAGTTTGGGACAAAGGGGTGTGATGTGTTTTTTTTTAAAAAAAGTAGAATTGTGTAGTTGGTATTGAATTGATAAAGTGTGAATAAAGTATGAATAATGAATTCTAACCACTCAAACGTTACCAAATATGATATGGAACAAACTTAATGGGACAGACGAAAATGTAAAACGGGACAAAGTTAGGGGGACAGAGGAAGTGTGATTGTGTGCATGCAATTGAGTATCATATCAATATGTAATATGTATGGTACAAATCTACTCATTTGTTTAATTATATTATAGTTGTCTTATCATCAAAACATTTATCGTGCTAATTTTATAATTTAATACCGATACTCATTCACTTTAAATGTTATATTCATTTCTTTTAATATAAAATACCTGGTTGTAGAGTGAACATTTTATAATCGGGTGTACACTATAATTCGCGGAGGTTTGAGATGTACTCTTGGATGGCAGATTTCACTTTTGAAAGAAAATAGGGAAAACTATCAAATAAGTCCTCATATTATATCAAAATAGTCAATTAAACTCTCAAACTTATTAACCACCCAATTCAACCCATGAACTTTGAAAAAACACTAAAATATGATATCTACGGGTATCTAAGTGGTTAGTCGGTTAAAAAACCCATGTGAATTATCCATTTTCTTTTTGGGAGAAAGACTCAAATACGACTAAAACATAGGAAGGGAACTTAAATAGGAGTCCCAGCTTTTTAACTCCCATCTAAGACTTATTTTATGCCGCCAGACAAAACTACCCCCGCCTCTTACGCCCAACCAACCCATCCGGTAGCAATCGACGGAATCATAGCAACCAACCTTCGCCTGCTCGCCGAAATCGACGGCTCTATTCCTGTTGGTGTCCATCTAGCCCCGCTTGAGCCCTAAGCAATGGAGCAGAGCTGCCAACATTACCGCCGTCAAGCTCCGTCGGAATCCATGTTGAATCTCAAGAATATGACCTGGCCTTTGATTGTTTCAATTGGCGAAGTTTAATATTAGTTGGTCAAGTTTTATATCGTATTGTTTCATATCCATTGACTTGTCAACCCCATAACAAATGAGATTACAGGGAAGAGAGGGTGGCGGACCGTCGGTTGTCTATAAGGAGGTGACCCAGATGTTGTTGCTAGCTGCTAGTTAATTACTGCATATGTGATTTGGGGGAGGGGGAGAGATTGAAGATGCACCATAGCCGTTGGTTTGGTTTGTCATATTTTGGAGATGTTCACATTGAATTAATTGGTCCATGGAGGAAGTGACAGGTCCCACAATGGTTTTGTTGGTTAATCCTGACACTCAATCTTTTAACATTCACATTTTACATTATTTTTTCATTATAAATACTTTAAAATAAACCATGCATAGTATCGTAAATGTTGTCAAAATATAGAAAAAATGTCACCATTTTGAAAAGTGACACAATGTCAATATTACATGGTATGACATTGTAATGATGAAAATGTGATAAGAATGTCAATGACAATGTCATAAGAATGTCAATAAAAAACAATGTCAATGATAATGTCATAAGAATGTCAGTAACAATGTCATAAAAATGTCAATAGCAATGTCAATGACAATGTCATACAAATGTCAATAACAATAAAATACATTCCTTATTTCTCTGCTTTGAGTTTGTTCGTATGTACAAAGCACTATTTTTTCCTTTTCTTTCGATATTGCAAATGCGTATATCTAAATTAATATTTGGAAATGATTTATTTATTTATTTTGGGAAAAAATCATTGATGTAATCAATTGTGTGCACCAATTGATTGGAACAGACAAGTTTTGTCAGTCTGTGCACCAATTGATTGGAATAGGCAAAATTTGCATCTCAAAAGCTCAAATGCTAACGGAAGAAATCAGAAACAAAAAATGACCGGCAATCCAGTGATGAAAGAAAAGAGGAGAGGAGAGGAGGAGGAGAAGAAAAAGAGGAAGACAAACATGCGACACCTTCATCGGCGCTTCCCTACAACCCGGATCTTCTTCCCCTGCATCTTCTTGGCGATGGTTTTCTTCATCTCCCCAGATTCATAGGAAAGAAAAGAGGAGAGGAGAAAAGAGAAGAAACCGAAGAAGTCAGATCTGATCGGCGACACCTTCACTGGCGGTTCCCTGCATCTCCTCCTCTCCGACATCTTCTCTTCAGATTTCATCTCAGTTCTTCGACATTTGCTTTTCACGAAGAGTTGGGTGCAGAAAGATCCGATAGGCGCCTGGTGTCGAGGAGTCTGGAAAGAAACGAATAGAAGGGGCAAATTTGGAACATCGGAAATATTAGTCCTATTTAAGAGTTAAAAAAGTCAAAGTCCTATTTAAGTATATAGAGAATCTTGTGGTCCTATTTAGCACCATTTCTCTTTCTTTTTCTATTTTCCTATCCTTCTCCCTCCTTCAGCCCAGTCAGTCTTAACTTTTTTCCGTCCAACTTTCTTCTTCAACATCACGTACCACATGCACTCATAATGATAACTAGCCTTTTTTTTCATTTTGCTCTAATTTTTCTTTCATTTTCTCTTTCTTCCCCATATGATATATTCCTTCTTCCACCCACTCAGCCCCTAATAATAATAATAATCTCCGACGTCAGCAACTGGTGGCAGGTCTTCACCGGCCGTCTACACAGTCAACTTCACCAACGTACCAGAGGTTCAGTGAATATGTGTGCCGCCTTCACCAACCTCCGCCACATCTCTGACTTCACCAATGGCCGCCACCATTCACATATGAACTCCATGGTCACCCACTCATCGTTAGTACCCAATAACCATGACGGCCGGACCTCCTTACCTCCATGCTGCCAAGGAGATGCATCCTGACTTCCAAGACTGAAAACCGAGGAGTGCCAAGTAGGAGTCCATCGGCCGGGAATGATGAGAATATGAGATGATAGTGTGGGCCGTCGCCAATCGCCCGTCGCTGCAACAAGGAATACACTAGGTGGGAGTTCTTGTCTGTAAAGAAGAAAGCACATGGGGAAGAAAAGGGAAAATGAAAGAAAAAAAGAAGAAAAAAACAAGTGGGTGATTAAGTGATTTGATGTCCGCAGGTGACGCGGAACTACGGAAGAAGAAAGGTGAGGAGAAAGAAAGTCTAACGACGGATGGAAGAAGGAAGCAGGGAGAAATAGAAGGTCACAACTCCGGTACCTTTAAAAAAATGGGGTACCGTACCTACCATTCATTTGATTGGACCACATCACTTAACCATTTTTAATTTAGGTTTAAATTATTCAACTGCAAAATTCTCATTGGTCCATGTGGACAAAGGTATGATACCTTATGGGTACCATAGAATCTACCATAGAAAAAAAGAAAAAACATTAAAGAAAGGAGAAATTCGGCGTGGATATTTTAACTGGTTAACCGGATAATTACGGGTTAAATTACACATTTGAGTGCTTTTTTCAAAGTTTAGGGCTCAATTGGGTGTTTATTTAGTTTGAGGACTTGATTGACTTTTCTCACAGTATGAGAACCTATTTGACAGTTTTCCCAAGAAAATAAATGGGGACTTCAATTTGGAGATAAAACTGCGATAATATGCTGAATTACACTGGTCATGAAATCACAATTTCCTCCCACCAATCTATTATTATTAACTATTAACTATAAGGACAAAGTACAAAATTGATAAGCATCGGTAGCATTGTATTAAGGGTGTGTTTATTTGGACTTGGGTATGATCTTGTTTGATTTATATATTTATGATAGAACACTGGTAATAATCAATCAAAACAATAGCAAACTAGGGAAAATATGCAGAGAATGGATCGAGAGAAGTGTTTATTGCGAAGGGAATGATCAACGTAGGTGTACAAACAATGGGACTGTTCGAGCAACCCACTCTCCAAGCCATAACCAACTGAATAACAACCTACCCTGTTTAGCTATCCCCCCTTCTATTTATAGTAATTATCCACGCAGGGATTAAAAAAGGCTACCGACCCTCTAATTATTAATAAACTCCTTATTTCTCCTCTTGTAAACGTTCTTAAAATACTAAATAGGCCCTGTACTCCTATCAATACTCCCCCTGAAGATTCACCTTGTCCCCAAGGTGAAAATTAGAAAACTGCTCTGTTATAGATTGAAGGGACTCCCATGAATCTTCAAACTGTGGTAGATCCTTCCAATGAACCAACACCTCCATCTTTCCATCCTTATTTCTTCTGGCATCCAAGACTCTCTTAGGCAACACCCGCAATTCCCATTCTTCAATTCACTCAAGCACTTAGGTAGGGGCTGATATATAGATGTAGGTGTGATAGCCTTCTTCAGTAGTGAAATATGAAATACTGGGTGAACTCTGCTTTCTTCTGGTAGCTTGAGTTTAAAAGTTATCTTCTCAATCACCTCAAATGGGCCATAGTATCTGGGACTGAATTTCTGATTTAGCCTCTTGGCTAAAGTTCTGAGCTTGTAGGGTTGAATCTTCAGGTAAACCATGTCACCAATCTCCAACAACACTTCTCTCATGTGCTTGTCAGCCTGCTGCTTCATTTGATTTTGGGCTTTCTCCAAATTATCTTTCAGTTCTCTTAACATCTCATTCCTTTTAGCATTCAGTTCAGACACTTCTTCCACAATTGTCATACTTACATCTCCTCTAATCACAGTAGGTGGGTCTTGACCATATAAAGCGTTGTAAGGTGTCATCTTCAATGAATTGTGGTAGTTGGTATTATACCAAAATTCAACCCAAGCCAACCACTGTACCCGTTGTCTAGGTTTTGTCCCTATTAAGCACCTCAAATAAGTCTCCAGAGACCTGTTAACTAGCACAGTCTGACCATCAGTCCGAGGATGGTAAGCAGTACTATACCTGAGTTGAGTTCCAGCCATTTTGAAGATTTCAGACCAAAAAGTGCTCATAAAAATGTCGTCTCTATCACTAACAATGGTCTTAGGGAACCACCCATGCAACCTTACAATCTCCTTGATGAAGAGGTCTGCCACTTCCTTGGCATTAAATGGGCGAGAGAGGGCCAGAAATGGGCAGATTTTGTCAGTCTATCCACAATGACCATGATGGTGTCCTTGCCTTGTGATTTAGGTAATCCTCCAATAAAATACATGCTTATATCTGTCCATATACTCTGAGGGATTGGCAAAGGTTGTAATAATCCAGCTGGTTTCAGAGCTTGATACTTGTTTGTCTAACAGATAGCACACCCCTCCACAAATTTCTGTCATATCCTGTCAATTAGAACAAATTTGAAATTCTCTTCATTGTTCTGAAGTATCCTGAATGGCCTTCTACTGCTGTATTATGGTACTCATTCAGAATTCTGGTTACACTAGGGGAATCTTTACGTAGTACCAGTTTCTTGTCCGCCAGATTTCGCTCCAAATTATCCATGCGAATATCCATCTTCGCCCTCGTTCGTACCATTCACCACTGATAACAGACCTTGTTACCTTCACACCACCGATCTGATCTCCAGGAGCGAGTGCTCTGATACCAATGATAGAACACTAGTAATAATCAATCAAAACAATAGCAAACTAGGGAAAATATATGTAGAGAATGGATCGAGAGAAGTGTTTATTGAGAAGGGAATGATCAACGTAGGTGTACAAACAATGGGACTGTTCGAGAAGACCACTCTCTCCAAGCCACAACCAACTGAACAACCTACCTTATTTAGCTATTCCCCCTTCTATTTATAGTAATGATCCACGTAGGGATTAAAAAAGGCTACTCACCCTCTAATTATTATTAAACTCCTTATTTCTCCTCTTGTAAACTTTCTTAAAATATTGAATAGGCCCTGTCCTATCAATTAAGCCTGATCTAAATTGGTATATTCTGGTCTTGTAGGTGTCTGATCTCTGTGTATTTTATAACTGTAAAAGTTTGGTCTGCACTGATTTGTTGAAGTTTACTTGATTTAATATGTACAAATTTAATCTATTTTAATCTGAAACTGAAATATAAGTCCAAGTAAAAACAGATTAGAGAGTAGAATTAATGCCATTACTCAATATAAACTATGTGTAGTTATTGTTATTACTTGAACGTAGGGGGTGTAAACTCCCATTCCATAGAATATCCCGATTTGAGCACACCAGGGAAAAGGCTGCACAGTAATTAAGAAAATAAGGAAAATGTCACAATGCTGTATTAGTTCAATTCATCAATTATAACAAATCACATATACTCGAATCGTTTCAAATTGAAGCTCACTCCACAAGCTATCGTTGAAGAATGTCCTGCATTTGGTCCTCCGACTGATATAAAATTCTTCACCTGTAGTTTTTATGATGATTATATGGTCTGTATGTGTGTATATATATATATCCAAGTTAAATGCAATAATTTTTTAAACAATAGCAAATATTTACCTAACATAAAAAGTAAAAACAACAGATCAGGATATAACTTCTACGTAGTAATTACTAGTGTCTATAACAAATAATAATGTATTTATGTATGGGCTTTACAGTATTTCATTTTACTGTATTTATGTATGGGCTTCAAACTTTAATTTCACTTGGACTGAAATTTTTGTGATATGTTCTGAACTGGTTTGTCTGGTAGATGTCTAGTCTCTGTTTATTCCACAACTTCTGAATTTTGGTTTGGTCTGATGTGGGGCTGGAATGAGTACGATTAAAATCATCTTGTGCATGTCTAATCTTTGTCTGATGTGGGGCTAGATTTTCGATTATATCTAGTCGTAACTAGATCTGGTTAGGGTTGGCCATGGTTGAGCGGTGGTTGCAGTGATTGATCGGGTTAGGGGTGGAATAGTGGCAGGGGTAGGGCAGGGGTGGGGAAGTGATTGAGGATGTGCGAGGACCTTGGTGGGGGAGGGGAGACGATGGTCATCGGCCAGACCGGTTGTGGTCACTAGCCGTGCATCGATGGTCGTTACGTTTTGGCTGTTACTATGACCGACATGGTCACTGGCTGGACGGTGGTGGACATTGGCGGGACGCCAATGGTTACTAGCCGGGGCGGTGGTGGTCAGTGGCCGAACTGGTGGTCACTACCGACCGACGGTGCCACTATCATTGTGGCCGACAGCGATAGCCGGCGGAGGGCACTGCGGGATTGTCTGCGATGGAGGTCACTGTGACGGAATTGACTCCGGAAGAAGTCATTATGATGGAGGTCATTGTGACGGGCGAGTCACTATCAGATAAGTTACTAGGTATTAGGGGTAATTTGGTAAATGAAATAATCATTAGTCACATCTTTGGTAATATTTACTCGTATGCATGATACAATCCCAGGCAATTATATACTACCACTCCAGTGGAGTTGTCAATTTGTCCTTTTTAGTTGGTACAAAATAAGATATGTTGCTCTATAAATCATTTTATTTATAAGTCTTATTATTTTTCTTTCCTCTGCACAATCTGCAATTACATTATTTTTACTTTTTTATTCTTGCTCTAACTCGACAACCAACTATGAATAGAGTTCAATACGGATCAGACTGTCTACACAATTTTTGTTTTAGACATATTATTCAATTTGATAAAGTCATACCTTTGTGTTGAGGTTAATGCCCTACGGTCCGAGAGTCGAACACGTTCTCTCGGTCTTCATTGGATGATATTTGTGAATGTGATGATTTAGTATGGTGATGGCAATAAAGACCGCGCAAACAAGAATGGAGGTAGAGTCTATATGTGATTCTTATTGAAAAGTATAAAATGCTTACAATACACTCTTAGTCTCTTGCCAAAACCCTAACCTCTAACATGAAAGTGCACTGAATGTTACAGAGAGAGTGCATAGAGACTAAGCTATTGAACTGAAGTTTGCCAACTCTTATTAACAAATTAAATATCAGTATTTATACTACAAGATGATATGTGATTGGGGTGACGTGAAGTTCCCTAATAGGATAACCTTTAACCATAAAATTTGAGAGTATCTGATGTATTAAATGATCTTCCCGTTAAATTCAAATTTTCCGCAAATAACATGGTGGTATAGATTTCAATCGGTAAGAAAACCACAAAAGACATATCTCGCCCGACCTGTTTCGTCCGGGTCGAGATAGTGATCTCGGACTTGACATGCGACTCGAGCGATGGGCCGCGAGGTTGGTTGGGCATTAGGGACATATTTAGGAATTGGGTCATTCTCTTGGTGAACCTTGTACCTCAACACTTTCTATATAAATTATTTCATATTGGAGTTTTATTATTTCTCTTTCCTCTTCACAAACTATAATTACTATAGTATCATTTTTTTAACATTTACATTCTAGGTCTAACTTGGTAAACAACTTTGAATGGAGGGAGTTAATACATGTATATATAGACAATCTATACAATACTGAGTAGGTTTTGGTTCAAATAAGAACACGATCTTATAAGAAAAATGAGAATGAATCTGAAATGATATTGAAATGATCTATAAGATTATACAACACATGGCAGCAAATGACAGAGCACTGATTGCCGAAGGCAGCTGCGGTTCACCTCGTAGCATTAAAGTGTTTCTGGGCGAATGTAACGTTGACGACTTGTATGCCTAGTTAGTATTTATTACTCCCTCTGTCCCTAAATTTACTTCCATTTCGCTTTTCGAGAGTCAACTTAAATCACTCTTAAACTCTTACTTTTTGTATCAAAACTTTATGAAAATTGATTTTTTTTTGCAGGCTTTGTAGCGGGTTTAATGTAGTTTCTGAATATGTAAATTTTATTTACTAAAAATAATCCGAGTTTTCACAGGGATCATTTAACTTTATCGTCGGTCAACCTTCATAATCCGCAATTGGAACAACATTCAGGGACGGAGGGAGTACAACATAAAAACATTTAGCCTTGGATGCAAGCCACCAAGGTTTTGCTAAAGAAATAAATACTCTCTTCGTCCCGAAATAAACTTCCCGTTTTCTATTCAAAAAAAAAAAAAAAAGAGAATGAATCTGAAACGTTAGATTTGCTTTAAGTGAAATTCAGTGTGCATTAAGATGAAGCAATAATGTGCATTAGGTGAAATTGAAATGTGCAGCACAAACGGTACGATATAGTGGCATTATGTGAAATTGAATTGTGCAGTACGTGAAATTAAAATGTGCACTAGGTGAAACTGAAATGTGCAGAATAAAAAGTACGATGTGAGTTATTTTTGTACCTTTTATTTCACACATTTCAGTTTCATCGAATGCACATTTGAGTTTAAATTTTTTATTTTGCACATTTCAATATCATTTAATGCGCATTTCAGTTTCATTAAATTCACAATTTAGTTCCACATAATACAATCCAACGATACAAATTCATTCTTATTTATCTCCTGGGAGTCTGTTCTTACCGGAACCGCTCCCATACTGAGTAATAGTTAAGTAATTTGAGTTCTTACAGGCGGGCCGTCACATAACTCAATTACTCCTCTTCCAACCATATTACCCTGCATGTAAATATATGAATAAATAAGTACATATTTATTTATTTATTTATTTATTTAATATCAGTTGACGAAAATGTTGAGCACGAGATAATGCGAAATAATCGCTGCACCTGGGAGAGAGCGACCATATTGTAGCCATCTTTGAGTTCTGGCATCGCCTTGAGCTGCAATTATTCAATTGAATTAATTATACGCACTCGAGACTATTCAAATATTTGTGTCCCAAATGTTACATTAAAAAAATCAGTATAGAGCATTGGATCATTCTTTACGGATTCGATTTCTGCAATCGAAGTTCGGCGTAGTTTTTTTTTTCCCCTTCTTTTTGCTTCGTCCTCAAGTACCGATTTGCTCAGGAGACTGGCAGAGCTCGGAGGCTTGGTGTTGGTTTTGTTCCGTTCTCGGTCGAGGAAGTGTGACGGGGAGAGCTTCGGCTAGAGGCTTGTAGATGGAAGATATTGTTAACAACTATAGGAAGATGGCTACTGGGGAGGCAGATAATGACCAGCTCGACTTTGATACGGAAGAAGCAGGTGATGCGGACGAGACCGAAGAAAAACTGGGATTCCCGGTGGTTGGTGCGGTGATTTCTGATCGGAAAGTCAATTTCCAGGCGCTTCAAGAGATGTTGGCTTCAATTTGCGTCCCGGTAAGGGAGTTGCAAACAAGGAAATCGAAGAAAAAAGGCATCTCTTCACTTTTAACCATGTTTTGGATATGAATAGTGTGTTGGAAGATGCACCCTGGCTGTTTGAAAGAGATTTAATTTTTTTGAAAGCAGTTCAGTCAAATGACATTCCTAGAAACTGAATTTATTTGAGGCAGACTTTTGGGTTCAGGTGCATAATGTTCCTCACAAATTTAGAAACATGAATTCTGCTAAGTGAATTGGGAATTTTATTGGCTCGTTTATAAAGTTTGATGACAACAATTATGGAGTTAAATGGAAACCTTTTTTGAGAATTAGGGTTTGTATGGATGTTATGAAGCCCCTGAACAAGGGCACATCTCTGAAGAAAGAAGGAAAGAGGCATTGGGTTGATTTCAAGTATGAAAAACTACCCAATTTCTGTTTCATATGTGGGGTGATTGGGCATTCAGATAAGTTTTGCCCGCTAAGATATGAGGAGGTAATTATTATTGAAAAATCCTTTTGGGTAGAACTTAGGGCGGGAGGAGGGAAAACTAGCCCCGCAGGACCTAATAAGTGGCTCGTACAAGATTCTGCAAGCTCCGGGGGAATCGGGCAACAGAGGAAGACTAATTTCGGGGACGAGCAGCCGGTGGAGACGGGTGGCAATGCATCAAAATAGGGGGCGGGATGATATGGATCGGAAGGGGAACCATGCCAGGAGAGTCTAAGCGCAGGAGGATATGGGAAGGCAAGCTGAAAGAAATTATAGGGGGCGAAGACATGACACTTGATGGGCCAAAAAATGGGGGGGGGGGGGGGGGGGGGTCAGACCTTCTAGGCCCGCCGGTTTTGCAGTTGGTGATTCTGATCAAGAGTTCGAGTGCTGAAGTTTATTTTATTTTATTTTCTGCCTTAGGTTTTATTTCCACGAGTTTACATTTATGTTTTGTTTTATTTTTTGTCTGCTGTGAAACTTTTGCATTAGGTTTGGGGTTAGGAAGGCCTGCGGTAAGCGTCGTTTGCTTTAAATTGCCCAAATTAGGTCTAGTGAGTTATATTACTTGGTATTGGGTGATTAACTCAGAGTCTCGATCAAGGGCGGATGGTATTACTTTCACGTTCTTGTACCCCTGCTGAACGCTATTTCAAGTTCCAAGCCAATATAAGAGTTTGGTTAAATATTAATATTTCACCCGTTCTTTTTAGTTGCAACATTTCAATTATCATGTTTACCAACATAGAAGTTTGATCATTTACAAATTTCATTCACTATTAATAAAAAGAATTGAAAAAATATTGAAAATTAAATTTAGAGCAATTCAACAATAATTTTCAAAAATTAAATTTATAGTACATTAATCAATAAAATATAATCAAAGTGAAGAATACGAATAGAAGAGGTATTTACCTGAATAGGACTAAATAAATCATCAATTGCTAAACTAGGACTAAAGTTTAAAATTTTTCCAAATAGGAATTATTATTTGTAGGTAGACACAAATACCCACAAGCTTAGCAAAACATATTGTCGCTCATAGTAAGCCGGACCTTCGCCGGACCTCCTCCGGACCACCAGCCGCCGCTGCAGAATGGTCGCCGCTGTAGATCTGGCCGCCTCCCCCGCAGATCTGGCCGCCGCCTCCGTAGATCTGGCTAGATCAGGCTGCCCCCGACCCCCAGCCACCGCCCTTACAGATTTGGCCGCTGCCACAACAGATCCGATCTTTGTCACTGCCGATCTGGCCTCCGCCGTTGCAGTTCCGCCCTCCGCCGCCGGTTATGCCAATAATTTATCAAAATGCCATAATAAATCGAGAATGCCATCTAAATGTCATTTTCAAAGGAAAATATGGAATTTTAGAAGAGTAAGAATGCCATCGTTTTGGCATTTCAGATCAAATTTGGAATTTTTTTAACAACCAAATGCGAAATAGAGCTTTGGTCGTGCGACAGAAGGATGAGACAAAATAGGGGCACATAGAAGATGGAACCGAGGTCTAGAACTTTTCTAACAACCTGTATTTTTTCAATCGCTGCCTATTCATCGTTTCATCATCTCGCCGTTGTCCACTATATTTCCATCCGTTGCGAGGCTTGGTCTGCGAAATTGAAAAGAACTCACCAAGGGGTTTGCCTTTTTTGGAGATGGCTGGAGCGGAAAACCCATTGAGGATAGAATAGGAACAAAACAGAAATCTCCATTAATTTCAGACACTTCTTCAACAATTGTCATAGTTGCATCTCCTCTAATCACAGTAGGTGGGTCTTGACCATATAAAGCGTTGTAAGGTGTCATCTTCAATGAATTGTGGTAGTTGGTATTATACCAAAATTCAACCCAAGCCAACCACTGTACCCGTTGTCTAGGTTTTGTCCCTGTTAAACACCTCAGATAAGTCTCCAGACACCTGTTAACTAGCTCAATCTGACCATCAGTTCGAGGATGGTAAGCAGTACTATACCTGAGTTGAGTTCCAGCCATTTTGAAGATTTCAGACCAAAAAGTTCTCATAAAAATGTCGTCTCTATCACTAACAATGGTCTTAGGGAACCCATGCAACCTTACAATCTCCTTGATGAAGAGGTCTGCCACTTCCTTGGCATTAAATGGGTGAGAGAGGGCCAGAAATGGGTAGGTTTTGTCAGTCTATCCATAATGACCATGATGGTGTCCTTGCCTTGTGATTTAGGTAATCCTCCAATAAAAACATGCTTATGTCCGTCCATATACTCTGAGCGATTGGCAAAGGTTGTAAAATACATGGTTTCAGAGCTTGATACTTGTTTGTCTGACAGATAGCACACCCCTCCACAAATTTCTGTATATCCTTCCTCATACCCTTTCAATAGAACAAATTTGAAATTCTCTTCATTGTTCTGAAGTATCCTGAATGGCCTCCTACTGCTGTATTATGGTACTTATTCAGAATTCTTGTTACACTGGGGGATTCTTTAGGTAGTGCCAGTTTCTTCTCTGCCAGATTTCGCTCCAAATTATCCATGCGAATATCCATCTTCGCCCTCATTCCTACCATTCACCACTGATAATGGACCTTGTTACCTTCGCACCACCGATCTGATCTCCAGGAGCGAGTGCTCTGATACTAATGATAGAACGCTTTATATGGTCAAGACTCACAAAGTGTTGGCTTATGGTGTCAAATGACACCACTCAAACTATATATTTATTGTATACACACACACACACACATATATATATTTATATATAGAAAGAAAATGCTAAATGACACCACTAACTCTTTCATAAACAGGGCCAATATATAAAACACATTCCCCCTATCTCACAAAATTTTCATTTATGATTGAAATGATGTTGATGATATGTAATTAGAAAGTAAAAAAATTACATGATACTCTTATTTTCGAATTTACATTATTTGTAATCTTAGAACACATTGGGTAACATTGAAAGTGGCTGAATCAGCTAGTTCTACTCAAATATATGAAATTCTGAATCAAGTGGCTAGATTAGTTACTTCTGCTAAATAGTAAAAAAAATTATATTTAAAATATATTTTCTTAATAAAAATAAAGAAAAATTATACTCCGTACGAAAAATAGTTAAAGTTGTCCTCCCTCTGTCCCGATAGAAGGTTCCCACTTTCCTTTTTTGAACGTCCCATATAAAGGTTCTCATTTCCATTTTAGGAAACAATTAACAATCTTAAGTGACAAATTAATCATTAAATATTAAAAATAATACATTTATAACATCACATTTATCAATACTGACCACATTATAATATATACCTAATAAAATTATTTCTCAAAATGTACACGAAGTACTTTATTTAATTATTACCTAAATAATCGTGTTGTTTTGCTATGGGAACCTTCCAACGGGACGGATGTAGTACTTATTTTGGTCATTGCAAAATGTAGCGTGCAAAGTCAAAAGTTATGTGTTTAGTGAAAAAGTTCATTGATAATACGAAAAACAGAACACTAAGCGAAGTCTGGTTTAAGGTAATTTTCATTGTTATAATACTTTAAAAGCACTCGTTCTACACCCTGGCTCCGCCACTCCCTAATAGTCAACTTTATTATCTGGGTGTACCATCATACTATTGTCTCTGTTTCGTATTTGTTTATTATTTACACAAAACTAGTGTCTGATAAATATTTCAATATATTCCTTAGAACAATCTGGACATAACAAAAGTATGGATAATTGGATCAAACATATCATGTATATAACCCAATTTGACTCTAGTAGCATGTTGAGGTTTGAAGTTATTCAATAACCGATTAATGGGTCATCCTAAATAGATGGAGCAACCCAATATATGATACTCCATACTACTCTAAATCAAATAGGTGTGAGATAAACATTTCAAAATATCTTTTGAAAAACAATATGAGTATATGAAATGATGAATACACAACTTTTTTATTTGTGATTATTCCTTCCATTCCACTAATAATGGAATAAGAGAGAGTGACACACAAACAAATAAAAAGTGGTTTATGTTGTTGATATTGTATTGATAAAGTAAAAATCAAGTAAGAATGATTTAGAGTCACACAAACTTTACCAAATTTGATATGAGAAAATCTTAATTAGCGGGAAGTAGGTAGTATTAAATAGGATAATTATGGGGTCAGCCGAAAGAGAAGAGGATCAGAATAAGATGAACTCAAGAAAATTTTCACTAGGAGATTTGATTCATCACGCACCTTGCCACAAGCATTTTCAACCTGCAGAGGATGAGGAAAAGTGCTTAAAACATATGGAGTATATAGTTAAAAATATACATTCATTAAAGAAATCCAACACCCTAATTAATAAATTAAAACACCATCCAATATGTATCTATGGAATCACACTTCAAAAGTAAATCTCACTTGATTGTTCATTGGCATCATCCACGAGTCCATTAGCCCGTTTCCAACTTCCCTTAAAATCGAAATGATTAATACAAATAATGTTAAATTAATTAAATCAATAGATCGATAGTAGGGGATTTGGAATTGATCTGACTCTACTTCTACTTTTTTTTTAAACATAAATAAATGAAAATCGATTTTTAAAAGCCGATCTCCTTTAGTATCTCAAAAGTTGCTGTTAGGAGCAGTTTTGAGCATTTAGAAGTATTTTGTACTTTCATTTAAACATATCTAAACGCTCTACATAAGTCCAAGCCAAGGGAGAGGAGTCAACAAGCCTAAAATGGTATGGAAAGCCTAGAAATTAAAGAGTGAGCAGCCTTTTGAAAAAGATCCAAATGTAGTGAAATTTTACTTTTACAAAAGATAAATATTGGGTCTGTCCCTCAATATTTTGCCATATTTGACCAGCACGATAAATAATAAAGTAAAAACTGTGTGATTGAAATATGTGAAGAGGAGAGAGAAATAACAGGAACCACAAATTCATTGATTAGAAGGGAAAATGATAAAGTTTTTGGGACATTCAAAAAAAGAAAGATGACAAAGTTATAAGGGATGGATTGAATATATAATAAGGATGGGAGTATATAATTGAATTACACGCATGATCCTTTAACTTTGGTCAATGTGGTAAGCGTCATGGTGTAATAAATGCTCCCTGCATCGTTGCATTGCATTGAAATACCTGGTCATTTTAAACAATGAATGAATTCAAATGTACGTAAGACACTCCTGGCTGGCTGGCTGGCCTAATTAAAAGGATGGCTGGCTGGCCTAATTAAAAGGTCATTTATATTAGAGAAAATCGCACTTTAAGTCCCTCAAATATTCACGAAAATGAAGTGTCAGATCGGTATTTCTGATTTTGCAAATATCACCCTTAATTGTCCAAATTGTTGTAAATGTGGTCCTTTAAGGGTTGAAATGTACTCTTGCCTATATTTCACCCAAAAAGGACCACACTTACAACATTTATGACAATTGAGGGATGACATTTACAAACTTGGGAGTCCAACATTTCATTTTCGTGACTATTTCAGAGACTAAAAGTGCGATTTTTCGTTTTATATTATTAAAACTACCGCGATGCTTACCATGGAGAACGATAAAAGGTGTAGAAGATGAGAGCGGAATGGCAGCGAAGAGCAGCATGTCAAGAAGAAGCAGAATTGAGAATGAGAAGAATGGGGATAAACATATACGATCCATATATATTTGTTTATATGATACTCCGTATGATATATGTACTACTATATGATGCTCTTATTAAGATCTATCTATATATGTATATCAAAGCTAGATAATGTATACTCGACCAGCTCTCTCTCTCTATTCTTAATTCATAATTAAAATTAAAGTCAATATCTTATATATGATCAGCTGCAGCCTGATCGATCGAGTAAGTATATGATATAAAATGCAAATTATACATGTACTTGCGTATTCGCATACGTAGTATAATAAAATGCATGCTTGCGGCATGGTGGATCATATCGACAAGGAGCCCAGGTTTGGCGTTCACGCATGCTGCATTCACGCACTTTGTGTGTTCATGTCTACTGCCCGGCTAACAAAATGAAGACCCTGTGCAACAATAAAAATTGGGCTTTTCTTTCCAAGCTCCAACCTAACAAATTTCTTTGGAAACATAACTACTGCCAATTATTGAAATCTTCTACTAATTCGGTACATGTTTACAAATTTTATGATAAAATCCAGTTTAAATTGATGGTGAAATCATGAAACACTATAATAATAATAATAATAATAATTTATAAACACGATTATACACCATACCAATTCAATTTCTTAACTGTTATACTAATACAATAATTATCAATTGAATTACTTAATAATTAACAACAATAAATTGAGAAGTAACAACTAACAACAACCTAATTTGCAATTAAAAAGATATATTTAGGGCTTAGTGATCGAGTTACTGACTATCGAGGCGACGAGGAAGTGAGGGGCTGAGGGTCGTGAGCCCGTGACCGGTGACTTGATGAGGGCGTGTTGAGTATGTGGTTTTGTTGATGACAAATAATGCAGGTAGAACAACGGATAGAACCGCTCTCAGTTCCATTAGGAACGAACGACAGAAGTATTCTTAGTTCTGTTCTGTGTGAACGGTTGGCTTACTTGGTGTAAGAATTAATTGAGTGCTTTCCTTATACGTGTGTATGAATTAATTGGTAATACTTTGCTTATGTGACCACCCGTGTTAATAATCCACCTACTTGTCAAGATCACTATTTTAAGCTAGAATATTTTCATGCATATTTAGGAATCATTTATTCTATTTCCATGCATGACTAGACATCCACTTGTTAATATAGCTAAGTACTTTATGGAAAGGGTCCTTGCTCGCTTAAATATGATTGTATGACTTTATATGTGGTGATTTAATAGTGATCCGTTGCTTGCTTATATATGTTAAGTGAATAAATTATTTCTCTCGATCTACGATGGTGATTATTCTTGTGCAATCATCTTTGATTGATTTAAGATCCACATATATATGAGTTTGTTGCCTTTGAATGATATTTCTCTAAAAAAGGAAGGCTTTTCAAATTATAACAAGGCAAGTCTCATTCTTGATGACCTATCCACTCAAAGAAGGAAAGCCTCAACGGATCTATCTCCAAGCAGCCTATAAATCGAGATCAAGAAAACGAAGAAATGGGTGCTTGACCGAGACAGATATTGAAAGATTTATTCAACAAAGAAATACAAAAGTTCAAGACACCTGAAACTGTTCACATAGAGTTCTAGATATAGTTCCTACTTTCCCTTGTTCATATTGTATTAGGGTTTTTGAGGGTTGACTAACTGTAGCATCCTCGGGTTGGTAAGTGTGTGGTGAGAGCTTTGTTGTAAAGCCGAGAGGCTCTCTACTCGCAAGGTAGAGAAGCATAACTCTTCCTAGAGAGGATAGAGTTGGGGTGTCTCAAGGGTAGACTAGGAGAGTTTCTCTTGTGACCATTCAATGAAGTTTTTAAATTCCTCCGAGGGAGGTCGAGGGATTTTAATCCCTTTTGAGACAAGGGATTTTTTCTCGTTAAATTCTTGTGCACTTATTTACTTTGTCTTACCCTTTACCCCACACTAGAACTTGGCGAAAAACTGTCACGGTTCCCCACACACACAATTCACCCCCCTTTTCTGTTACAAAATGTTTCATTAGGGCATGAGGCGGACATGGGTGAGGCGGTGAGTCCCGTGAAGCCGTGAACCGTGTGACTGCGTGACACAATGGACGAAGGACGCCCTTGGGATGGCAGGAGTGATGTACTATTGGACTCCTGGTCCTGAAGGCGGGGCGCGGTGGCGACCGGCAGGATGTTGGCGAAAGATAGAATGAGGCATCGTCGACTACTCGACTCAGGAGCCTGTCGAATCCCAAAGCCATTTCCCACTTTCCCGTATAAAGCCGTTATTTAATTTGCTGCTCTCTTAATTTCCTTTTCTTTGGACTTGAGCTGATATGTCATACGTAGTACTAGTATTAATTTTTTGATTTTGGTCCCTAAAAAATTATTGGCATGTGCGAGTGGGCTGACTGCCCCTGGCCTGGGCCAGCCGTGCTCTACATGATACTCCATACTCCCTAAATTAGACCGACCGGCCCATACACGTACTGATAGTTTCAAGATAAGCTTTTAACTTTGAATTGGCTAATATGACTGATGAGTGATGATCAACTCTCTCTAGGTATGCTAGTGAGGGGCTGTTTACTCTCAGATTTAATGGACTTAATGAGAATGATTTCTTAAACATAAGAAATCGCCCTCAATAGAAGTTAAACATATGAAAAGTGCAATATTAGGAGAGGTATGGAGATGTAGAGTGAGAGGTATGTGCATAGTGTATGCAATAGCCCTATATTCCGCCTCTGCAGAAGACATGTAGATCGTTGGGTACTTTTTGGACTTCCAGGAGATAAGATTCGACCCCAAAAGATTTATCAAAATTGGCAATACAGTTGTTAACTCCGCGATGAGATCAATTTTTTGGTATCATGCCTGTCCCAATCCAGGATAAAGGAGGAGGGTGCTGTGGTAGGCGCGTGACAGCCAACGGTACTACTTAGTCACATCACATGACATGAATCGAAATATGAATATCGCTACAGCTAGGTCGTCGCTCATAAACGACGCGCCATCCCTCCGCCTGGGGTGGTGTCAAATATGCAAGGGCGCCACTACAACAAAGTTGACTTTTTGTAACATATTCATGGTAAAACTTTTATTTTTGTTACATATATCATCAAAAATTAACATTATGCAACGATCATATTTAAGTGTTGCAAAACATTTAAATTATTCAATTTATGCAACACTTATTAAAAAATGTTACAACTATCAAGTATTATGGCAACATTTTTTTCAAAGTGTTGCTAAAAATCAGTCTAATTATAGATCGTACTTATATATATGTAACACGATTAAACAAAACTATGCAACACATTTTATTTGGAAGAAAACTATGCAAAACATTTAAAACAAAAAAAATTATTCTTCTTTTGACAAAAAACAATTGAAAAAAAAACAATGTATTCAATTTATGGCAATAAGTATGTCTTCATTGTATATTTGTATATATCTCCCTAGGGTAAGGTTCAAGTGAGAAGAACCCTTTAGGTGAGAAATGAGAATGAATTTCAGCCATTGGATTTGACCAAGTTGCAGAAAAAACACTTCATGATGCACTGAAATATGCAATCTAACACGGTGACATTTCTGTAAATACTTCTGAAAAATTCGTATTAGACTTGTCTAGTGCAACATGAAGCTATTTCGGTGCAACGCTGTCAAATATTAGTGCAACATGAAACAGTTTTAGTGCAATATTGCAAAATTTAAATATTACTGCAACATAAAACCATTTTTAGTGCAACTTCGCAAATCTAATGGCTGAGATTCATTCTCATTTATGATGCATTTCTCACTTGAATCAAAATCTATCTCCCTACTTTGCATGCATAAAATTAGTCTCCTAATTAAAATTAAATTATACTCCATAGTACTATGTACTAATACACACTTCAAACACAAAACCAAAAGAGTAGAGCTAGGTATACACAAAACTTGTACACAAAAGTTGTACACTTGTCTGTCTCACACAGATAAGTTGTGCACAGACAACTCGTTTCCGGACAGACAACTTATCTGTGGAAGACAGACAAGTGTATAACTTTTGTGTACAATTTTTGTGTATACCCATCTTTTTTCAAACCAAAAACACTAGCGTATTACGAAAGAAGCAGTGTGATACAATAGATCAGATCCGGGCTGCTCCGACCGCCGCCCCTGCGCTAGCTACCGCCGCTCCTTCGCTTAGCAGCCTTAGCTACAGCCGCTCCTGCGCCTACCGCCACTCTCGCACCTAGCTACCGCCTCTCATCCGCCCACCGCCTCTCCTCCGCCTAACGCTCCTCCTCCGCCTACCGTTACTCGTTCGCTGCGATGTCCCCTTACTCTCCTAACATATTGAGGTGAAATGATTTTAAATTATGCACTAGGTTTTTTATTTTTTATACTCTGTCTTTGGTTTTTTGTATACTTTTATCCAAGATCTGTGTAGTGGCTTTGGGTTGAGATAGTTCTGGAATATTACCCATCTTGGGAATTCAAAGCAGTAGAAAATATCCTTATTTGAAACAAAGACACTTCATGAAATAGTCTAAGTATGTATATTCTTAAATGTGTATAATGTGTTTGTTAAATTGTGCCCATGAGAGTTTCTTTCAATTCATGTAGTAATCTGTAGTAACCTTTCTAAAGTTCAAAGAGCAGCACCTTGCAATATACTTTTGAGAAGTTATTTCATATACAAACAATAACGGATGTAATATTTGTATTCATCGTTCTCTTAATAATAGAATTAAAAGCTACAATTTTGTCTACTTAAAGGGCTCATAGAAATTAGTAAAGGAGCCAAAGTTATATAATGAAATGGTAATATCTACTGCCACTATTTCAAATGTTATCTCATATTAAACATCTATATAGAGTATGTATTACTGTCCAGTGCGCTTTAAATGGGTAAATATCTATGATACATTAATAATTCACATGTTAGGCACCAGGGATAAAGTTTCCCCTCATACATATTTGTTTTTGTTGATGTATAAAGAGCTTGGCTTAGATGCTTTTCCTTCTACGAAATTGATACAATGTCAAAACTATCAAAAAACAACCTATGAACTAGAGTTAGGATGTTTTTTTAACTTATTTCAAACCAGAATTGCAACACACGATCTTACTACTTAAATGAGAATAAGTCAACGATTTTTGTGTCAATCTCTAAGACGAATTCAATGATTCGGTCTGTTTCAGCTAGTCATTCTGTGGTCGTAGTAACCTAGCAAGACAATGAATGAGATTGAATGCTAGTATGCTACATTATTATTCAAATTACATTTTTGTATAGGTTTAGAAAAT